ATTTGAGACAGAGAGAATGAGAGAGACAGAGAGCACATGAGAGGGGGGAGGGTCAGAGGGAGAAGCAGGCTCCCCGCCGAGCAGGGAGCCTGATGCGGGACTCGATCCCCGGACTCCAGGATCATGACCTGAGCCGAAGGCAGTCGCTTAACCAACTGAGCCACCCAGGCGCCCTGTAGTCCAATTTTTAATGTAACAATTTTAAGAAATATAAGTTTAGATTTGATTAGTTTATGTTTTTTTAAAAAGCTACAGTAGTGCCGGTTACTATCCAGAAAAGTTGCACTAATTTAAATTTGTAGTGTATAGGAATTCACGTTCCCCTTTCAATACAAGGAATCACTTTAGCATTTTAAAAAAATCTTTGCTATACGGTAAGAGAGAAATAGAATCATGTTGTTTTAATGTATCATTCTTTAACTATAAGTAAAAAAATGTTAGTATTTGTCTTTAATTCTTTAGTGAAGTAACTGTTCATGGGTATTCATTTTACCTACTGGGTTTTTATTTTTCTTATTGATTTATAAGCTCTCTTTATATACTAAGGTTATTAGGTCTTTGCAACATATATCAGAATCTTTTTTACTAGGTCATATAACTTTAAACATTATCTCTAAGTTCTTATTTATTAAAATGAAGTAATGTGTCCCCTTATTGTTTTTTCCTTAGGATCATGGTTTAAACAATCACCCAAAATATACATGTAAGAAAATATAAATTCTCAAAGCACTAGCAGAGTTTTGATTTTTACCTTTAAATATTTAAAATATAAATAAAAAAATACACCAGGGTGCACAAAACATAAAAACATAAATTTAAAACATAATTTAAAGACTTTAATTCTCCTGGAATCACTTACTTACTTAATTTATATGCATACAGGTAGGAAATGAAATTTATTTTTCCCTATATGGTTATTAATTAATTATCCAGATACCAATAAATAAATATCATTTACCTACCTACTGTTTTGTAATACCATTTTCATTATATGCTAATTTTTTACATAAACTTGAGTTCATTTCTGAATGTCCATTCATTCCTTCCTTCCTTTATTCATTCAACCAATTTTTATTAAGGAAATATTATGTTCTAGGCACTGTTTTAGGCAGAAGTGATACAGCAGCACTGAATACAATGGATGAGATCCTTGCCTTTCCTGACTTCTGTTCAACAAGTAGTCACAGGCAATGAACAAATTGGGATAAGCAGGAAGAAGAAAACGATGCCAATAATACAGTAGAGTAACATTGTGGACAGGAGGACAGCTATTTTAGCAAAAGGCTTCACAAGCCTCTGTGAAGAATGGTAACTGAGCAGACACCTGAAAGAAGCAAAAGGAACATGAAAAATGCAAGGGAGTCCCCCATGGAGTACAGAAAAAAAACCATGACACTCTGGGGGTAGAGGAACAGCAAGTGCAAAGACACTGAGGCAGGATCAGGTTTGGTATTTGGGGGAGGGGAGGGAGAGCAAAAAGGCTAAAGCAGCTAGACGGAAATCAGTGAGCAGAAGTTCAGGGATTTTAATGGGGGTCTTTGCAGGCCATGGGATGAAGATTCTGTAGCTAGGGAGTATGGTTGGATTTCCATTGATGAAAAGAGCACCCTCGGGGGGCACTGCGTGGAGGACAGGCATGGAGAAACAGGAGCAGGACTGGAGAGGCCAGTTAGGAAGCACTTGAGGTCATCCAAGAGGGACAGAGACAGCAGTTCTGAGGACGGTTGGGAGCGATCAAACTCAAACATAGCTATGTTCAAGCTTACGGGACCTGGTGATTTGCTGGATATAAGAGAAGGGAATTTGGATATGGTAACTGAGGTGCTAAAAACCTGGCGACGCGCTAAGTTCCAGGTAGGAATACCCAGAGCTTTGTCTTAAATAAGCTAAGGCTGAAATTCTTTCTCACTGTCAAGTGGTGGCATTAAGCAGATGGTAGGACCTCCCTCAGGAGGAAAGTTCTGGCTGGAAATACAAGTTTGGGAGGGTCATTAGCATTCCTGAGTCTGCAGGGATCAAGGGTCTCCTGGACAGAAAGTGTAAATGGGGGGGCGGGGTAGTGGAGGAAAGGAGAATGCAGAGGAACAGCCAGTGCGGGAGCCCGGGGGGGCGGCTTCCCAAAGCCTGGAGAGGAAAGCACTTTAAGAAGGAGGGGAGGTCTGCTCCTTCAAAGCGGCTGAGGGGTAAGATGAGCACTGCAAAAGGACCGTTGGGTTTGGTCATTGCAGTGGAGGAGGAGGGCTCCCAGCTGAAGAGAATAGGGGTGAAGACACAAACATAGGGAAAAAAGAAATGCATCTGGAGAAGTGTGCGGAGAAGTGCGGAGACTCAGGGAGCTGTGTTTTGTTTTGTTTTGCTTTTTTAATGGGAGCTAATTCATCCTGTTTGTACGTTCATGAACTGACTCAGGAGAAAGAAGCAGCTAACCCTGCAGATGAGAGGGGTAAGGGCAGGAACAAGAGGGGGTGGGATCTGGACCCATCAGGGGGTTGAGCTGTGTTCAGGGCAAGGACGTTTCTTCCATTTCTGTTCCATCCCATTCATCTGTGGCTCGGACATTTCCCCAAACCCACTTAGCTCTATAACTCTGTGGAAGATTTCAATGTCTGATAAAGCAGGAGACACCTTGCTAACATTATTTTTAGTCCTCATTTTAAAAATTAACACATATATTTCCAGCTGACCTGTTTTTTCTTTTATTTTTATTTGTACCAAGTTCATTTCACTTGAAGTGATCATACATTCATATGGTTAAAAATTCCAAAGTTACAAGAGGCATAGAAATGAAAAAACTCTCCCTTTTGCCAGTGTCTCCCAAATATGCATTTTTCCCCACGTGGAGGACCAATGTCACCATCTCTTGAATATTATATTAAAAATATTTTATGCATATACAAACACACTTATATTTCTTCTTTCTTTTTCCCTTTTTATATAATCAGTGACACAGAGCTTTGCCTGTTGCAGACTCCACTGCTCAAATATAAATATTGACAAATATATAATGACTGACAAAATCAGGTTATAGATGAAAAAGAGGGAGGGGGAAGATTCAAACGTCATCAATGCCGTCTAAAAAAATGAAGGAGCAAAAGTGTGGGTAATATCATACTTATACAAGGGGCGCCTGGGTGCCTCAGTGGGTTAAGCGTCGGACTCTTGGTTTCGGCTGGGGTCATGATCTCAGGGGTATGATATCGAGCCCCATGTGGAGCCTCACCTTGGGCTTCATGCTTAGCGGGGAGTCTGCTTGAAGATTCTCTCCCTCTGCCCCTCCCCCCAATCTCTCACTCAAATAATAAATAAATCTTCCAAAAAATATTATATTTATACAAGTAGCCAATAAAATGAGACTACATACCTTAAATATAAAAACCCTATACAAAAAGCAAAGAAAACAAACCATATAGAGAAAAACTTTTTAAAAAATGCCCTAGAAACTGAAATACAACATAAAATAATGGGACAGAGCTAATACCAAACGTATGTGTTAATCATTAAATGATTAGAGGATTAAATCACTTATTAAAAGAGAAAGATCTTCAGGTTTTATCCCAAAGCAGAATCCAACTGTATGCTGTGCACAAGAGACACACCCCATAAAGGTGATTCAGTTCAGTTAAAGAGATGAGCAAAGTACAGCAAAGCATATACAAATAAAAAGAACACTGTGTTCCTCATAGGAAAATCAGACAGAGCAGAATTCTGCCCCCAAACCATTAGAAATGACATGAAGGGCACTTTGTGATGACCTAATACCCAGCAGCAATATTCACAAGGAATGGTAGGAGACCGAAGAGGAAACAGACACAACCCACCAGCAGGGAGAGATTTTAATTCACCTGTAAGCATAGGTCAGATTCATGGGACAACGATAGGCATCTATAATCAAGACAGAGTAATATCAATAAACTGGGGGAAAATAGTTTCAGTCATGTCTGGGACAGAGGACTGAGCTTCCTGATATGAAAGAGTTCCTAGAAATTGAGGGGAAAAAACAAAAACTTAATTAAAAAAGAGAAAAAAAACCAACCATGCAAAGGATATAGACAGCTCACAGCAACACCAAGGTGAATAACCTTTACACATATGAAAGACTGCCCAACCTCAGCCACGAGAAGAAAACTAGTTCTAAGAATTACACTGTGATGCACAGTTTCTCACCAAACAGGAACCAGATTCCCAACTTTTACAATATACTGTGTGGGAAAGCGATTCTCTTACAGAGCTGGTGGGATGATCACAATGCTCCGGGTGGAGGCGGTCACCTTGGCAAATCCGAAGGGATTTCTGTGGTGTCCGTGAAGTATGATCAGGAGGTCCCCACGGTTCACGGGTACAGCAAGAACTGCCTTGACAGAAAGAAAACCAGGAAGGATGTGCTGTGTGACGAGATTTAGCAAATAAAAATACAGGTCATCCCCTTAAATCTGAATTTCAGATAAACAATGAATTATTTTGGTATACATATGTCCCCTGCAATAAGGAGGTCCCCTGCAGTATTTATGACATATTCTCAGTACCCCCTGGTTAGAGGTTTGTGGCAAGGTACTTGACATAGGACTTTGGTTAGTCAGGTCAGGCCCACCCTCCTGCCCCTGACCGCTTTCTAGGTTGATAAGCACACCAACTGTGCTTCAGGTGCTCATAGCCTTAGGTCTCTGGCTGAGCGGAGGCCTCCGCAGTGAGGGGTGGGCCTGCGCAGATCCACCCCTCAGGAAGTACGGAGGCTGGGCTTGCTATGAGTATAGACAGCCAGCGAGGCCAAGAAGCGGCCTCCAGCACTTGGAATACACGGAACCATGTCTGCTAGTAATCACCATAGGAAGAAGTAGAGTCGAAGGCCTGAGATCAGACGCATTTCTGCTTCATTCTGCCCCAGACAGCTTTAAGTGGCAGGAACGTCACTGCAAAATTCAAACAAGAACCTCTAAGGTTTTGACTAGTGAGATGATAAGGAAGAACCATAAAATCACAGCTCGGTGCAGGAGCTCTGGGGTGGGCCTCCTGTGGCCCCTCCTTTTGCAATTAAGGATTGAGGAACGTGAGTGCCAGGCAGGGGCAGTGTCTTGCTCAGCTCAAACAGAAACCGTTGAATGTCCTCAGCTCAGTGCATCCCCACTGTCATTGCATGCCATGTGAAATGTTTCTTATTCGTAAAAGGTGTTGGGCTGATTTGTACACACGCCTGCACATTCCTCAGACTCATCAAGAGGCAGAGTCTAGACTCCTCACCTTACATCTGGGCCGACCTTAGTGACTCCCTTGTAGCCAATAACATGTAGCAGAAATGAGCGACACAGCTTCACAGGTGAGCAACACAGGTGAGAAAAGGCTGGCTGGCTTCTGCCGCCTTCATTCTCGGCTTGCTCAGCGTGGAGCACTGAGCTACTGCAAGGCTGCCATGTAGTGAGGAAGCCTAGGCCACAGGAGGTGGCCACATGTAGGTGAGACAGCTGACCACCTCCAGGCAAGCACCAGCATCAACGTTTCCTCCCTACTGCTAATAACTTTTAGATGGGAAGTGAAGACCAGAAGTCATTCCTGGTCTACTTTATCTTCACTTGAGGCCAACAAAAGCCAAAATACTGTTTTTGCTTTGGGAAGATGATGAAATAAAACCTGGTTTTGAATTTTAACTTTCGGTAGCACAGAGTCTTCGGGGAACAAATATAAGGCAATCCCAGGAAGTTGTTCTTTTTTAAAGGTCAGGAGATTTTCAGATGATAAATACTTGATCAGCAATCCAGTTCCCAAGCAAATACCCAGGCAATTAATCACAAGTAGACAAGATCTTTCCTGTGGAGAAAATTTTGCTGTTTTTGGAAAATACAGCTTTGCTTCAAAAAGTATTTGAAAAGGGGGCGCCTGGGTGGCTCAGAGGGTTAAGCGTCTGCCTTCGGCTCAGGTCATGATCCCAGAGTCCTGGGATCGAGTTCCGCATTGGGCTTCCTGCTCAGTGGGGAGCCTGCTTCTCCCTCTGCCTCTGCCTCTCTCTCTCTCTCTGCCTCTCATGAATAAATAAAACATTAAAAAAAAAAAAGTGTTTGAAAAGAAAAGCAAACCAGGGGCTTCTCTGCTCTAAAGCCCAATATGGCCGATTTACTTTCATAACGTGAATGTGCTTACATTTTCCTGATTCTCATGGGCAAAATAAACAGCAAAGTGGGGCGAGGTCTAGAGTGGGACTAAAGTGCTCTGAGCAGCCCCTGAACCTGCCTGATGACAATCCATCCAGAAACACGGAAAAGCAAAGCATTGTGTTAAGTGTTTCTACTAGTTTCCTAGGGCTACTCTGGCAAATTACCTCAAACTTGGAAGCTTACGATAACAGAATTTTATTTTCTCAAGTTTTGGAGGCTGGAATCCTCAGTGGAGGTACAGACAGAGGCACGTTCTCTCTTAAGCCTCGAGGGGAGAAGGCTTCCCTGCTTTTCCAGCTTCCGGTGGCGTCCGGCCAGGAATCCTGTGTCCCTTGACATGTGGCAGCCTTACTTCACTCTCTACCTCTGTCTTCACACGGCATTCTTCTCTGTGCATGTGTCTGCATCTCCTTTCCAGTTCTTAGTAGGACACCCATCAGATTGCATTTAGGGCCCCTCCTCCAGGATGACCCCATCTTCACTTGATTGTATCTGTAAAGATCCTATTTCCAAATAAGCTCACATTCGTGGGTCCTGGAGGTCAGGACCCGAACACACGCTTTTTGGGAAACACAGTTCCAACTCATAGCAGTGTCCTAAACAGAGATCTAACTAGAGGGCTGTGGTTGTGGGGATGGCAGGATAATTAACTGGGAGAATTCCCGTGGCTACTTCTTTTGTAGTCTGAAGAACGTGGATTCAAATACTGACTAGCTGTGAAGCTGTGTAAAAGCTATGTCTCCCCTCAGTCTCAGATGACTTATATATAAGTGGGGATTAATTGAGACAAGTGTGGTCCCAGACCAGCAGCCTGGGCATCATCTCGTGAGAAATGCTCAAGTCAGGTCCCAGCCCAGACCAAATTGAGCTGGAGTTTGCACTTCAAACAAATCTCTAGATGACTCAGAAGCACAGTGAAGTTTGAGAGGCACTTAGCACAGTCCTTGGGACATAATTTGCCAATAAATGCTACCCCATCCCCAAAACCATATAAAGGCAGTTCAATAAAACAGTTGAGTTAAAAAACAGAGGAGCATAAGGGAAGGGGGGGGAAATAAAACAAGATGAAATGAGAGAGGGAGACAAGCCATAGGAGACTCTTAATCGTGGGAAACAAACAGGGTTGCTGGAGGGGCAGGCGGATGGGGTAACTGGGTGATGGATATTAAGGGGGGCATGTGATATAATGAGCACTGGGTGTTATATAAGACTGATGAATCACTGAACTCCACCTCTGAAACTAATAATATACTATACATTAATTAATTGAATTTAAATTAAAAAATAATAAAAAAATATTTAAAAAAACAGTTGAGTTAACATTTAATTTAATAACTATGGACTAAAATTAAAAAAGAGAGAGAAAGGACAAGGTTAGGCCATTTTTAAACTACCCAAAAAGAAACTGGTTGACTAGCAATAGGCTGGTAGTGAGATACTAAATTTTAGGACTCTTTGAATATTTAAAAAAAGAAAAATATTTTTTAATTTATGAAAATATTGCTCATACTAAGTGGGAAAAAGAAATCCAGAGAGGGGAGAGGGTTCAGATACATTTTTAAGACCGTGTTATCTGAGGGGCACCTGGGTAGCTCAGTTGGTTAAGCGTCTGCCTTCAGCTCAGGTCATGATCCTGGACTTCAGAACCTGCATTGGGCTTCCTGCTCAGTGGGGAGTCTGCTTCTTCCTCTCCCTCTGCTCCTCCCCCCACTCATGTGCTCTCTCTCTCTCTCTAATAAATATATATATTTTAAAAGACTGTGTTATCTGAAAAAAACTGAATTTGGAGATTACCAGTGTGTAATTCTTGTGAGAATTTTAAAAATTATTTAAATGTATAAACAAAAAAACTCCAAAGCTTGGAAGTCATGTTTCTCTCCCTCAGAACAACAAAGAAGCTGAACAAACTGAAAATCAATGACTTTTCTTACATTTACCAGAGAAACGAGGTCACAGGATAAACCAGCACCCTGAAAACTGGAGAGACAAGTGAATACAGAGACCACAGACCAGCTGACCTAAAGCAGAAGCTGCTGGAGCCAGAATTGGCAGGAACATGTATGTGCTTCAGAAATTGCTGGAAGCTGAGGATGGACTAACCTGAGAGTTAAAAGCTCCTGGAGGCCCAGTTAAAGCAGGGATCCCCCACATTTTCACAGAGTTCTACTTCCAGCACCCCCAGTGGGTTCTCACGGTGAAGACAGGAGAAAAACCCTTCATGTCTGGCTGTGGGTGGGGCAGGGGAGTAGCCATTCTGAAATACATCACAATAAACACTTACCCAGCAAGAGAAAGGAGCCTTCTTAGGGAAAGGAATGTTAGCCAATTCCAGCCAGCCACTTCTAGCCTTCCCATCTCACCTCAGGGGAAAGAAAATTAGCTGAGAAACTTTTATGAAGGTCACAGACAGGGGTACAGACTCACTGAAACACTGAGACCTAATTATAGGATTATAGAATGATTCCCCTCCCCACCCCCTTACCACCAAATCAATAGGCTCCCTGTATAATAACAGGGGGTTAGAGCTAAAAGAACTGCAAGGCCCAGACTCTATCTAAGGAGGAGTTCCTAGGGAAACCCAAAGACAATGGAGAGACAAAAACCAGGACACTAGAGGAAACTGAAGTCTCTGATACCTACAGCCACTATAAACACAGCCTGACTCCTAGCCAGATAAAAATAAACTTCACACCAAAGGCCTATCTACTCAATTCTTATTACCCAATACATCACGTCTAGTTTCTAACAAAAAGTTCTTGCCAAAAGGCAAGAAAAAAACCAAAATCTGAAGAGACAAAGCAAGCATCAGAACCAGACTCAGATACAGCAGAGATTTTGGAATGATCAGATTGAGGATTTAAAATAACCATAAATAAAGGTGCTAAGCACACTAATAAAAAGAGTAGATAACATGCAAGAACAGGTGGGTAATGTAAGCAGAGAGATGGAGACTCAAACTCAAAGATAATCATAGAAATCAAAACAACTCTAACAAATGAAAAATGCTTTTAATAGGCTCATTAGTAGGCTGGGCACAGCTGAAGAAAGAATCAGTGAGCTTGAAAACATGTCAATAGAAACTTACTACTGAAATGCAAAGAGAAAAAAGAATGAAAAAAAAAATTGAACAAAATATCCAAGAACTGTGGGTGCAATTACAAAAGGTATAACATAAGCTAATGGGAATTCCAGAAAGAGAAGTGAGAGAAAGAAGCAGAAGAAATATTTGAAATAATATAGGCTGACAATTTTCCAATATTATTGACAAAAATAAACCATGGACTCTAGAAGCTCAAAAAAACCAAAAACCAAAAAACCCAAACCAAAACAAAACAAAAAACAAAAAAAACCAAGTATGATAAATACCAAAAAATCTACACCTAGGCATATTGTACTCAAACTGCAGAAAGCCAAAGCCAAAGCCAAAATCTTGGAAGAAGCCACTTGGAAAAAAAGACATCTCACGTATAGAGAAATAAGGACAAGCATTACACCAAATTTCTTATCAGATTCCATGTAAGCAAGAGAATGGAAAGAAATACCCAGATTTTTAAAAGGAACAAAACAAAACAAAACAAAAACACCAACTCAGAATTTTGTACCCAGCAAAATTATCCTTCAAAGGTAAAGGAGAAATACTTTTTCTCAGATAAAACCTGAAGGCATTTGTCATCATTAGACCTGCACTACAAGAAATGTGAAAGTTTCTTCAAAGAGAAGGAAATGGATAAGGGAGTCAGAAACTCAGATATATGTAAAGAAAG